CTATCAAGCGCTCTACCCCTGAGCCACACCCCAACCTCCCTCCACTGTTGAGAGCATTGATGGCATATCCCTGAATCTTGGCTATGCTAGAGGATGGCCCCAATGCTGACTTATGCTTGGCTCTAATGAGAGCTTCATGGGGGGTGGTTTCACTGTGCCAGGAACAAGAGGTCACATGATGAGACAGCCAACAAGCAACTGGGGAATAACTGGGGTCCCAGTGACCCAAGGACCTTCCCTTCGACCACACCTCTTAAAGGTCCCACATCCCAATGAGAACCAAAGCCACAACACATGAATCTATGGGGGAAATCACATGCAGCCTACAGCAGTGATCTAAGGCAAACCTCAGAAAGGGCCATGCAACAGAGACTCACCCCCAAAGACTCCTCTTGGGGTATGCTAAGCAGGGAATCTGACAGCAGTGTAGGAGAGTGTGGATGGAAAGGGGCAGAGGGGAGAGGAAGGATGAGAAGGGAGAAAAGCTTGTCATTGGGAAGACTCCCTCTGGCTGTTGTTCAAACGGGAGAAGGAGGGTGCTGGGACTTCTTACAGTGGCTTTTTTAAAACAATTTTTTGAAAGGCGCAAATCTTTTATTCAAAGTATAAAAGCAATGCCGAAATATCAGAAAATACAGAAAAAACACAAAGTAAAATGAGGTTCCTAATTAACCCATCACTTGGTGATTATCAGTTACATTTTAACTTCCTGTTTCTCTGTCATCTCACTGTGCAGGGTTATGTGTGTGTGACAGATGTTTTAAATCTTCTTCCCTTTTTAAAAAGACAATGAGAACACAGAATACATTCGGTTCTGCATACCTTAAAACTCCAGGAATAAATATTTTAAACAAGGTATATGGCAATTTTTTAAGGCAAAGATGGAATTTTTAAATTTTTTTCATTTTTTTAGTACTAGTAAAATTGAGCATCTGCTCATATGTTTATTGATTATTGCTATTTCTTCTTTTACGAATTGTCCTTTGATGTTGTTTGTCTATTCTTCCATATTAATCTTTTCCTTATTGACTTAAAAAGTACTTTATATATTAAGAATATTAATTATTTTTCATAGATCGTGCAAACGTTTACCCTCAGTTTATTGTCTTTGAATTTTATTTTGCTTTTTTTGTCATGTAAAAATAAAAATTCTATCTAGAAAGAGTATATCAATCTTTTTCTTCATGCCATTTACTGTTAACAGTTTGGTATGTTTTCTCCAGACATTTTCTGTGCATATGCAAATATATCTATAAATAGATAGAGTTTTTCTGAACATTTGAGAGTCATACACAATATTCTGTGATTTGCTTAGTTCACACACTAATATATTATAAATACTTCCCATACTGGTATATAAAGACCTAACTCTGAATGTTCTATTTTATGAATTCAACCTTACATTAATAAAACAATTTTTAAAGATTTTCACTCTGATATTTAAATATGGACATTTTCTGGTGTCTGAAAGAAATAGAGACCTTAGTTTATTTATTCCTCATAGTGAGCCAGTTGTGCCAATAGCATTAATAAAATAATCTATCCTTTCCTTTCCGTTATGAAATAACTTTGTCATATATTTAATATAATATAAAGAAAATGAGTTTCTCTGAAGGTTTTTTCTTTTTGTACCAGGGATAGAACTCAGAACCTTGCACTTGCAAGGCAGGTGCGATGCCATTGAGCTAAATTCCTGCCATCTCTGTAGATTTTCTATTTTGCTTCTTTTACTTATTTCTTCCCCAACACCATGTTGTTCTAATTACTCTAGCTTTATAATATATTTTAATATCTGAAAAATCAATATGGCCCCCTATTTCATCTTTTTTAATATTACCTTGGCTAATTCTTTTTCTTTTATAATTCTGAAAATGTAATTATGAGCTTTAGAATAATTGTTGAAGTTCCCAAAACATCTATTTAGGATTCTTATTAGACTTATGTTAGATTACTTAAGCTTTATCAACATTTTGCCAAACAAGTATTTCCATTTAAAAGCTGACTATAAGCTGGGTGTTGTGGTGCTTGCCTGTTACCCAGCTACTCAGGAGGCTGAGGCAAGATAAAAGCAGAGTATCTCTTCTCAGTTACTCAGTGTTCTTCTCATGATATAAGCAGTTTTTTCCCTTTGTATTTAAGTCTTGTACTTTTCATCATGTTAGTTCTGAGATATTTTACATTTTTGTTATAATTGTAGATGAGATTTTTAAAGTATATTTTATGACTATTATTAGTATATAGGAAAGTATTGGTTTTGTGTACATTTTGTAACAATTTATTTTACTGAATATTAATCTAGTTATTTTCAGTTTGTTTGGGGTTTTTTTGTTGTTGTTGTTTTTTTGGTACTGGGGATTGAACTCGGGTTCAATTGCAAAGCAGGCGATGAAATCACTGAGCTAAATCCCCAGCCCTATTTTCAGTTTTTTAAATGGATTTCTTCATATCATTTGCAAAAGAAAGACAGAAAAAGAGGAAGCATATGTGGTTTTATTTCTTCTTTTACTGTATTTATGCTCTGTTTCTCATCTTGGATTCTACAGGGATCACATATATCTTAATATTTTCATTTCTTTATCTTTTCTTCTAAGCTTTTGGAGATTTTCTTGGGTTTGTCTTCACAGTCTCTGATTTAATTTCCTATGGCATCCAATATGTGGTTCACGGTTCCTTTTGGATTTTGACATTCAACAGTTGGTATTTTATCTCTGGGCTTCTCTTCTTTGGAAAGTTGCTAGTGATCCTTGGTGGCTACAATTGGTGATCTTTTTGGAGAGGTTTCTTTTGGCTTACGGCTTTAGAAGTGTCAGTCCATAGATAGTGGCTGACTTTAAGGCAGGAAGGGCATGGTGGTGATAGACAAAATTTAAACTATAGATTAGTTATTAAGGTAGCTGAAGTAGAATAAGTAATCCGTTCCTTTAAGATTTACCTTTCCCATAACTCTTACTGTTTAAGGTGATGGCTAACTGAACCTTTGACCTGTAACCTAACTGTAGACAACATTTAACCCAGAGAAAAGCAAAGTAGAAACGTTTGGGTAGTTTACAATGTATGTGTTTAAGGCGCCATCTGTTTGTTGTATGTCTGTGACTGTAACTATTAACAAGAACTAGTTGTAAAAGAGAAACAGAAATTTTACTGACTAAGACTACCAGAAATGAGGTAATGGCTAAAAGAAGATATAAAAGGAAATGTTAAAGCAAAGGAGGGGGAGGACATTGATCAGATGAGTTTCTGGCGTTCCCCCTCACTAGTGATTAAAAGCTTTGTTTTTTTACCCAACTTCTGTGTCTCCGTACATTTCTTTCTGCAATTCTGGAACAGTGGCGGGGTCTGGCAAAGGAGAGCTGCTTACTCCATGGCTGCCAGGAAGCAGAGAGAAGGGAGGAGCCAGGGATGAGTATAGACCCTTCCAGGTCACATCCCCAGTGACCTTCCAGCCAGGCCCCACCTCCTAACACCACATTCAGCCACTGAACTCATGAATGTATAAATCTACTGGTAAGAATAGTACCCCATGATCCAATCACCTTCCACACATAAGGGAATTCGGGAGGAAATTTTAGATCTAGCCATAACCATGACTGTTCTAACTCTCTTCTCAACCTCTTCCTCTCCCTATTCCTTGAATTCCCAAGTTCCACCCTAGTCTTCCTTCAGTTCTTACTCCACAAGTTCTTCCTGACTGATCTCATCCTTCCCCAGGTCCACTGCCCACCTGTCACCCCACCACTCCAGGCAAAGAACATCTCTGACTCTTCTTGGAGGCATTTCGAGTTTGACAGGTCCAAAGCAGAACACACAATGTCCCTCTCCAAACAGTCTCCTCGCCAAGTCTTCTCTATGTCATTAAATGACCTAGTTGCTCAAGCCAAAAACCAGAAGTCATCCTCGATTTTTCTGTCTCCAACCCCGACTCACTCCTTGCCCTACCATCCAACCCATCAGCACACCCTGTTAATTCTGCCTGAAAGTATTTCTCCATCCACTCATTTGTTTCTGTCATTGCTGCCATTGGTGTCCAAGACATGCTCACACATTGCTGCTGTGGTCTCCTAAGCACTTCCTGTGTTGCCTTCTGCCAAGTATTCATTCTCCTCCCAGCCAAAACAATCTTCCAAAAATGTAAATCAAGGCACAGCACTGTCCTGCCTAAAACCCTCCAGTGCTTCTGTTGCTGAACTTAAGATCAACTCCCACTCTTCACTCAGGCCTAGAAAGCCTTCTGTGTCCAATGCCCCATTTCTCTAAGCCTCTTATGTGCCCATCCACAGTGGTGTTCTCTTGGTTCCTCAAAGCCTCCTGTTCCCCTTTCCCACCTGAAGACCGACAGAGGCTCTTTGCTTTTCATGGAATGCTTACTCCCTCGCATCCCCCCATTTCACTTTCATCTAACCCTGATCACAACTGGACATGACTTCAGCTATTTATTTTTATTATCTGTGTCTAATATGAATAAAAGCTTCTGAAAGTATGGATCTCACTGTCTTGTGTTCTGTTGACTTCCTGGTTTATCTAGAATAGACTGGCATGTAACAAGTGTTCAGTCAATGCTTATTAAAGGGATGGATAAATCCTAGTGGGCCTGATACAGAGCAAGCTCCCATTTATTTGCTGAATTAATAGCTGAGTCCTCCCAATTGTACTGGATGCTCCTGGAGGGCAGATGCCCTTTGTAGGTTTCTTTGTTTCCACCCTAGCACATACCATGGTGCCAGGGGCCTCTGGGTGCTTAGGAAATGTGCTTTGGGTTTATTGCTTCCTCAAGGGGAAGCCAAGAGTCCTGCTGTCTACAAACATACTTTACTTCTTTGAGAATAAATGGGTGACGTGAGACAGAGTGGGTAGGAAGAGATGGAGGCTAACTGTCGTTCTCGGCTGGAACACAGGTAAAGGAGAGCCTTCTCCTTCGGGATTCTCTATTAAAGTTCTGTCCATGATGGGGTGTGTGTGTGTGTGTGTGTGTGTGTGTGTGTGTGTGTGTGTGTGTGTTACAGGATGCAAAGTACATCCTGGTGATAGTGGATCCAGATGCTCCCAGCAGGTACAATCCCAGAGCAAGATTCTGGAGACATTGGCTGGTGCCGGATATCCAGGTAAGCAGACCAATCGACACCTCTGACTCACTTGAGATTGTGGCTGGAAGGTAATCATCCTGTGCCTTCTGAGCTGTCACTCGGGAGGCTTAGAGACCTGGAAAAGTGAGGACTTCAGTGTCAGATGGCCCCTAGCACTTGGCTGTCATTGCTCCTCCCCAGTGAAATCTAACAATTTCAACAAATGTCCAAGGACTGGTAGTGGGTGCACTGGTAATCCAGCTCTCGGGAGGACAGCAATGGGGAGCTGTATGACTGTGCACTCCAAGGAGCAGCACTGTCATGGGGGTGTCCTGTGGGGGACACTCCTCCTGCTGGGGTGAGGGGCACAGAGGAGGCTTGCTGATTTCCCTTTCTTTGTACAGAAACACATAGCCGCCCTCATCTTTGCCCCCTGATAGTTATGAAGGTGCCTGGCTCACTTTTTTCAGACCAGGTCTGATGAATACAAATTTGGTGGATGGTTAGGGAGAATTGGTGGGTGGGGGAAGCTCTATTGCAGACAGTTGCTGAGCTTCTGGGTTAAACTGAATGGATCTCATTCCTCACTCAATGGCCTTTCAAGATTTCACTATCCTAACATGCTCTACATTCATCCCTGGGTCTTGTCAGGAGACTGCAGGTTCCAGGAACCCCCCCACCATGGATGCCAAAAGTCCCTTACATAAAATGGTATAGTATTTGCTTAAAGCCTACACATATCCTCCCAAATACTTTAAATCGTCTCTGGATTACACTTTATACATTACTGGATTACCAATACCTAATACAGTGTAAATCCTATGTAAATAGTTGTTGCACTGTATTATTTAGGGAATAATGACAAGGAAAACGTCTGTACGTGTTCTGTACAGACACAATTTATATATCTGTAATTGGTTGAATCCAAGGATTTGGAACTCACAGATACAGAGGCAGAGCTGTATAAAATATGCATTGATTTCTCAATCTTATTCAATTATAGAATCTTTTGTTCATGAGCACCTGACAGTGTACTTTGGGGGAATCCACATGAGCCTGTAGCATTCAAGAATCTGTGCCTAGAAAACCTCCAGGTGGCTTTTGCAAAGAATGGACAAAGGCCTCCACCCCAAAGACAGTGAGAACCCAGAACTAGCAAAACTAAGTTTGGATCTCGTTTGGGTTGCAGTTGGTTACCAAGTCATTGATCTCTGGCACCCCCTGAGTATTTTGCCTTTAGCCATAATATGCAAACCAAGCTGACTATTTTATGTGATTCCGGTCATGGTCCCACGCGATGACCCACTGAGAGCACTCTGGAAGATGTGGAGCAAACCGTGGGCCCAAGGGCTGTGTCTCCCCTGCCAGCTATATGGGTGCAGGAAGGGGTGTCAGTCTAGCTAGCGGGAACTCACACCAGAGTGGGGATGGGGAGAGGGCCACTGCCCTGGCAACCCCCCTTTATCCCATGCCTAGGCCTTCCCAGGAAGCTCTGGGAAGGGTAACAGCCATCCTACTGGCAGGCTGGCTGGGAACCTGATGGCCTCTCCCAAAGGAGACTCCAGCAGCAGTGTCTTGGACATGCCTGAGTCAGCTCATGGCTCCTGTCCCCTGGGGGTCTCTCTGCTGGGGAGGGGCTGTGGAACCATGTGAGCTGCAGAGCTGGGGAAGGTCACACCACGGGGAGAGGAGGGGAGTAGAGGGCACACAGACATGGTCTCCTCATCTAGACCATTGCAGTCTTCTGGCTTGGGTGAAGCTCACAAGTGTGGAAGGCTTGAGAGAGGGGTGCTGCTCAGAAGGTCGCATTCACAGCCTTCCCTGTACACACACACACACACACACACACACACACACACACACGGCTTCCTGCGAGCAGGTCCCCTCAGCAGTTCGGAGGCCCGAGTGCAAGAGCAGCTGTGGGTGGAATGGTTCTGAGTCAAGGGATCTTGGGACTGTGACGCTGCCTCTCTTCAAATCCGAAAGCCCCCACTCCAACCCCCCACCCCTCACTCGGGTGCCCACTCAGGACACCTCTGTCACTCCTGCTCTGCATGCAACATGGGCTTCGCCCCAGCAGCTGAGCAGGTGGCAGGTGACAGGTGGCAGCTGTTGGCCAAGACTGCTGAGCTGCAGAGTTTAACCAGGGCTACCTGCCTGGGTGCAGCCCTCGGCTTCCCACTCTGGTGGGAGGAGGCTCAGGTTTCCTCGCTCTGTCCGGGTGCCCAGCAGGAAGCAGCAGCTCTTCTTACTGTGCCGGCTTGACCCCATCTACCTGTCCCCAAATTCCGCCAGCTACAAAAATGGTGTAAGCCACTCCGTTTAGATCTCAGGTCCTGAGCCTCTGCCAAAAAAAGAGCAAGCTTGAGTCAAACCAAGGAAAACTTCCTCTGCATCAATGCTCAGTGCAGCCAGATGGCTCTGTCTTAGTTACTGTCCAGTCACTGGGCATAATAACGTACAACAACCACAATTTTGTTTTTTGAGACAGGATCTCACTATGGAGTTCAAGCTGGCCTTGAACGCACTATGTAGCCAGACTGTCCTGGAATTCACCATAACCCTCCTGCCTCAGCCTCCCAAATGTTAGGATTACAGACATAGGTCACCACACCATAACAAGGTCTCACACAGGACAGTGCTGAGCCGGCAAGGTTGGTGGAATGCAGATTCCTGGGCACCCTGCCTGCCCTGAAGAGCGTGCACTTTGGTCTGACTGGAGAGAACTTGGTGTTGGAGGGGCAGTGGCTGGGAGGGAGGCTGTGGGGCAGTGCCGGGTGCCTCAGTGGTCGGCAACATCTCCTGTCTGTTGAGCCGTTGTCAAGTGCAAAGCACCTGAGAAATTTGCACTGCTCGCCGTCATTTTGTGACTAGCATGACCCATTTAATAGCCAGGGGAAGCTAGTGGATCAAAGAGGTGGGGCTCCCAATCACCCAGGCTGGGCCACATGCCGGAGGGTCACATCACACGTCCCCCATCAGCTCCACTGTGGAAGGGTCCACTGTGGAAACCCCCCAGCCCACTCCCAGGGCTCCATCTCCAGCCACCCTGGGTGGACAGAGACTTCCGGGGCACCCTCCCCAGGGAATGCTATCTTAGTAATTCACGCACCCTGTCAGCTTTTTGAACCCCGTAAAACCACACCCACAAATCATCATTATCCTGGCATTCTCAGAAGTAGAGCATGCAGCAATGTCACTGCATACATAGAATGACAATGGCCCTGCAATTCCCAGGGGCATGGAGACAAACTTGGTAGAACTCAAGCTGGCCCTGATATTAGCGTGTCAGGTCTAATTGGGTGGTGAACCAGGCCATGGCCACGGGAGCTCCTCAGTAGGGGAAATGTTTGGAAAGTCTATGCAGGCTAAAAGAGGATAGCACATATGAAGGTCTTAGGAAATCGAGGAAGATCTGATAGGGCTCTAGACCTGTGCAAGACTTAAATAAAAACTAGGAGTTAGAGAGCTGCCCAGCAGTAGGGACCAGACATTCCTAGTATCTTTTTTTCTGTTCTTTTCTTTTTTTTTTTTTTTTTGGTACTGGGGATCGAACTCGGGTCCTCCCACTTGCGAGGCAGGCGGCAGAACAACTAAGTCAAATCCCCAGCCCCCTAGTATCTTTTTGTTTATTCAATTCAGCAAATACACTTGAGCCATGTGGCTCAATTCCCAGACCCACCATTATGAACTGTGTGATGGTGAACTAGTTGTACAGCTTCTCTGTGTCTCAACAGACTCACGTGTAAAGTGGAGATTCTGATAGTCTCTGCCTCACATTATTGGAGTGAAGCTTAACTGAGTTGAAGTGAAGTGCCTGGAACCATACCCAGAGCACAGTCAGCTCTACATAGTTGCTGTTATATTATTATCATTCTTTCAAGCCCAGTAGCTCCAGAGCTCTGGGGTCACAGTGCAAATAAAATCGAGGAAAGTGCTGCTCGGCACAGGTCTCTAGGGTTCTAGAGGCCCCAGTGGCAGACCGGGGACAGGGGCTTCTTGAACCTGTGGGTTTCCATGGGCTCAGGAGCCAGACTAGGCATCAGTGCCCAAATCCAGCCAGACAGGAGAGAGGCTGAGGTATCCCACATCCTTCTTGGTCCTCTTTGAAACTTTCCCACTGAGCAGAAGAGATTTCTATCAGAGCATTGACAGGGAGCATCTTTCTCCCGCGGTGCTGTGTCCTCAGCATTTCCTTAAAGGTGCTTTTCAGTTCAGATTCAATCGAAATAATAATCTGCATGCTGAAGCCTAATTAAGATATCAATTAATTTGCATCATTCATTTCAGAAGAAGCACTTATTGGTTCCCCTTCTATTTGTCTCTGAAATTAGTGCTCGGGGCTTTTCATACAGATATTTTCATTAGACTTTTTATTGTTAATGGGAATATTGAACACAGGAAGGTGATGCATTAATACTTTCCACAAAGAATATCATGACTGGTGACAAAGAACATGAAGAACAATTAAGGAGACAAGAGTACCTTTTTTCTTCCAAAAAAGAAAATCTTCCTAGAAACCGTCAATGATTCTAAAATTTGCCCCTGACTATCTTTTTTGTTTTAAGAAAAAAAAGGAACCAGCAAGTTCATGTTTCCCTTTCATTCAGTGCCCTCAACCTTTGGCAGCTGTAAATGCAACCAATTCTGGGTAGAATTAAAAGGACCTCTAAGGGGTCATTATTCTGTCTACTTTTCTACAGGCTGGAATTTTTCTATAATTAGAGGTTTTTTTAAAAGACCTCTAAATGTGTTAGGTGAATAAGACAAATGAAAAACCCAATAAACAGGTCAAAGATCGTAGCACCCTGCTTTCTAGTTCTGCAGTCAGCGTGTGCCAGGACACTCGGGTTTGAGTGATCATCCCACTGCTGAAGGAGCTCAGCAGGCTGCTTCACCTCTCCGAAACTGGTGGCTTCTCAACTGTAAAACTGACACAGATCCTTTCTCTTCAGGGCAGAGGCAAGGAAAAAGGAAATTCCATATGCAGACACCAGCCTTCTTAGAGAGAGGCACTAAGAAAGCAGCACGTTTATCTT